TGTTTTTGTACCTGATTTACAGCATCCGCAGTTCTTTCGGTTTTTATTTGACAAGGAAAAAATGTTTGAATCTATGTCAATATCAAAGTTCAATAATGTAACTACTTACTAGGAAATCAGCATCCTCTGCTCGTAAGTGGTTCGCAATATAATGAACACTTTCAACTGCCAACTTCATAGCTGGGGTTAACATTGCTTTCTGCTGTTGTTTGGGCTTGGCTACTTTTGACTCTCGCTTTGTGCTGGAGGCTGTTCTCTTGACCTTGCTCCCACATTTGCCTTTACTCAAAGATGGAGCTGACTGGGAGGCATTTCCATTCTCACAGCCTCCCCGAGTGTCTCTTGGTCTGGGCTGCCCATTCGAGCAGGGTAGATCCTCATGTAGATGGCTGTACTGGATCCTGCGGGACCTACACTGGACATTGGTCTCTATCAAATCATTCTGCTTGTAAGGATATTGAAGACTCAACGATCTCCCTCTGGAGCGAGAGCTTGGCTGTTCCTTGATGTGGTGGTGAGGGAGGTTGTTGGGTGAAGAACATGGATAGTGAGGTTGTGCCCGGTTCTCCTGCAAAATGCTATAATGGCTCGATTGTGATGGGCATAGTGTTTTGGGTTTCCCTTGGTCTTCCTGAAGATAACATGGAGTTGTCAATGATGGGTCGGTACCTGATTGTTGGTCTGATCCTCGAGCGAAGATTTGGAGTTTCTCCTCCTTAGTTTTGGGAGGGTAAGTTGGGGAGCTCAAGGCTTCATGAATTGGCACAATCAGTTCATTACAGTTTGTGATCATAGCCGTGGGCCGTTGCATGAAGAGAATGCGAGGAACGAAATCCAGAAAAAGCTTTCGTACCCAAGGTGGCATGGTGTGTGTGTGGGAGGAGCGATGGTGAACATTCAGCACAAACACAGTGATAACAATGGATAGTGTGACAAAGATCATCGTGAAGAGAAGATACTCCCCAATCAGAGGGATGACAAGGGATGTGGAAGGAATAATCTCCGTTATAAGGAGAAGGAAGACAGTCAGGGAAAGCAACACGGAGATACAAAGTGTGATCTTTTCTCCACAATCCGAGGGGAGGTAAAAGACCAACACAGTTAAACATGATATAAGCAAACAGGGAATGATGAGGTTGATGGTGTAGAACAGAGGGAGGCGCCTTATTAGGAAGGAGTAGGTAATATCTGAGTAGACTTCTCTACAACATTCATACTTTTTGATGTTGTAATTCCCAACTGCGCTGATAATGACCCATTCCCCACTTTCCCAGTAGTCCTGCTGGTCTACATGTCTGGCCATGCTCACCAGGTCTATCTTGGCTTTGTCGAAGGTCCATGATCCAAATTTCATGGTACAGTTCTGCTGGTCAAAGGGAAAGAAGGTCACGTCAATACTGCAGGAGCTCTTGTAGATAGCAGGGGGAGTCCACTTGATCCTGCCACTGTAGAACAGGTGGGCCTTGGTCAAGTGGGTGATGGCAAAGTCTCCATCAGCGCTGCAAGTAGAGAAAGCCAGGACTGAAGGAGCACAGATTTGTCACTTGTTTTATATATGATTTCTGTCAGTAATATAGGCATCAGAGTATGGTGACTTAAACATTTTTCACTATATTTTTTGCAAAAATACAGGTGATAATAATTACTATTCTATTCTACTCTAGCACCTTTCCTGGTAACAAAGCAACCTGAGCTGGTACCGAAAGCAAAACGCAGAACATGACAGAAATACCAGGGGACAGAGAATAGCCCAGTCAAGGCGTTACATAAACTATATAAAACATAAAATAAATCACATGATCCGTTTGGCCAACCAAGTCGGTGTTTATCCTCCATTCAGGCAACATCCCAATTCTGGGCCTACTCCACTCCCATACTCCTCTTTTTAGGAACATAGTAACATTAGCACCAGGAAGAGTCCATTCAGCCTGTCCTGCTGTTCAATTAGCTAATGGCTGCTGCGTTACCCCATCTTTAGTGCACATCCCTCAATGTCTTTAACAGGCAAAAATATATATGACTGTGGTTTGAAAACTCCATTTGATCTCCAGTATTTACAGTGACAGAGAAAGTTGAAGTTTTCCATTGTCCTTTGTATAAAAAGTACAGTGTCTCCTGATTTCACCCCAGGATGTCCTGGCTTCATAAGTCTAGGGCATCATGGACTTGACTCTCCCCTCAGTGAAATAGTTTCTTCACATCAACCCTATTGAATCCTTTCAACATCTTAAAATCTTTTATTAGATTATACCTCAATCTCCTATAGTCGAGGGAGTAGAAAATAAGGCAAAATGTGTTGGCACGAGGCCTGGAGAGCCAAAAGGCCTGTTCTCATGCTGTATTGTTCTTTGTAAGTCCATGCACCCTGTGCTCCTCATCTAACTGTTATCATTCTGGGTAGAATGATAAGATTTGTTTTGTCTCTGTGTAAAATTTTGCTTTTAGCCTTTCTTTCTATAAATTGGGAATAATAATAACAGAAATATGCATCACACAAGGAGTCTATTCTGCTCATTGTGTCTGTACTAGCTGTACTGGTCTAAGTTAAGGTTCGATGTAATTTGAACATGACTTCTTGCCTTTCAATTCTAATTTTTACATCTGACCTCCAGCTCTCCCTTTGCTTAATTATTAACCTGTGTCTCTAATTTTAGGTATTCTTGTAGCCCAATAATTGACAGAAGACAAGGCCAGTACATTCATTTCATGTGACCCACTTGTTGTAGAGGACAATATCGGGTCTCCAGAGAAACTCTGATGGGACTCTGATTGAGGTGATGTTCCCATATTCTGTGGGATTCCAGCGGAGTTTAAAATCATGCCATTCCTGAAAATCAAGAGGAAAAGAAAGATATTGGACAAATAAAACATGGAGGCATTTCATAGAAACCAATAAAACAAAACAATCAAAGCTGATTTTTGACCAGAACTTGAACAGACCTGTTTGATCCAGACATTAGTGGTCATCATTTGATTCTTTTCATCCTGTGGGGGAAGCAAGAAGCATTACATTTTATTTTAAATAAGCAAAAACTGATTCATCTCCACAATGAGTTATATTGATATGGTAACATAATGAAACATCCTGGGAGCTCTGACGTTCAGTCACATAAGGAGATTTAAGGTCAGGTGATCAAAACTCTAGTCAGGATTGTCATAGAGGAGAGAAGGGAGGTACAAAGGTGGATAGTGGAGGATATTCCAGAGTTTAGGACCTAGACAACCTCAGCAGTTATACAGGGCCTTGGTGAGACCACACTGAGAATATTGTGTGCAGTTTCGGTCTCCTTTTCTGAGGAAGGATCTCTTACTCTTGAGGGGGTGCAGCGAACGTTTACCAGGCTGATTCCAGGGATGGTGGGTCTGACGTATGAGGAGAGATTGACTAGGTTAGGATTGTCAGACGAATGAGGGGGGGCTCTCATAGAGACTTATAAAATTCTAACAGGGTGGGACAGGGTAGATGCAGGGAGGATGTTCCCGATGGTGGGTGTGTCCAGAACCAGGGGTCACCGTATGAGGATTCAGGGTAGACCATTTAAGATGGAGGTGAGGAGACATTTCTTCACCCAAAGAGTGGTGAGCCTGTAGAATTCATTGCCACAGGAAGTAGTTGATGCCAAAACATTGAATGTATTCAAGAGGCGACTAGATACAGCACTTGGGGGTGAATGGGATCGAAGGTTATGGGGAGAACGCAGGATTAGGCTATTGAGCTGGATGATCAGCCATGATCATGAAGAATGGTGGAACATGCTTGAAGGGCCAAGTGGCCTCCTCCTGCTCCCATCTTCTATGTTTCTATGTTTAGACAAGTGGAAGGCACAGCCACCAATGGTGTAGCGAATATAATTGGGGATACACAAGAGGCCAGAATTAGAGGAGTGCAGATATCTGAGAGGATTGTAGGGATGAGGGAGATCAGTGCGAGAGCATGGTGGGATTTGTGTCTTCTGCAAAGCATTGAAAGAATCTGGAAACAAGGGAAATGGAGAACAGAAGGTCGTGGGAAGTAAAGGGGTCCCTTCATCCAATCCAGTGGATCGGTGTAGCTGAAACATATTTCCTCAGCACTTCTTCCTCCATCCATTACACTCATATTTGTGTGTGTGTGTGTGTGTGTGTGTGTGTGTGTGTGTGTGTGTACATAAATGCCTGTCTATTTCTTTGTAATAAATAGTAGTTTCTTGGTAAGTACAGAAACCTGGTCAGTGCTTTCGGTTAGTCTGAGCTCATTAGACGGGTAAATCAGGGACTTTGAGTCCTTTGACTATATTGTTAACCTTTGCGATGAGAGCCCCTGTGGCCCCAGGAGTGGGGTGGGGTGGGTGGGTGTTTGGTGGGGGTGGTGGGTGGGTGTTTGGGGGGGGGAGGGGAGGTGGAATTCAAGGATCAGCTGACATTCCTGAGTGGGTCTCGACCAACTTTGAAACAGAAAGAACCAGGGTAGTGCTTTGAAGGACACAGGAGATAACAGTGCAGGAGCTAGAGGAACAATCTGAAGCGATGGTTATGACCAGACAGGGAAGAATAATCTAGCTGCCAGCTGGATGACTGTAAACTGATGTCAGAGGTAGACGGTCTGGTCAACTGTGTCAAAGTCTGCAGAAAGGGTGACAACCATGAGAACGATACATTTAGCTTTTCAAAGAAGCTCTTCAAAACGGTCATTGAGAAAATTCCTTGAACCTTCCTTCATAGAAATCTGAAATCTGTTGAGGTATTTTATTGTTTTCATACCATCCCTGAGATGGAAGTTTGTAATCAGCATTGGCACCAAATCATAGAACTCAAAGATCAGACCTAAATACACTGCACCATTCAGCACCAAACGAAGGAAAAGCAGGTTAACAGTAAAACACTAGACAAAAAAACCAAAAGAACTACAGATACTGAAAATCTGAAACAAAAACAAAATTTGCTAGAAAAGCTCAGCAGGTCGAGCAGCATCTGTGAAGAGAAATCAGAATTAATGTTTTGGGTCCAGTGACCCTTCTAGCTGGGGAATCCTCGGTTGAGGAAGAAGGCATTTTGGAGGCTTCCTAATCGAAGTTAGCATCACCAGAACATGATGGCCCTTTTGAAGGAAAGTCAATAAACCCGAAACATTTCTCCCCACAGATGCTGCCGGACCTGTTGAGCTTTTCCAGCAATTTCTGTTTTTATCATAGTAAAACATGATATAGTGAGTGAGAAACTCCAATATTGAATTTCAGGGCAATGGTTGAATTAAAAATTCAATCCAGAATAACACAGACACAGAATCCTGGTTCCTCTTGGGAGTCAGAGTGTCAAAAGCCATGAGTCTATATTTATACTCAAGAAAAATTGTCGTGGATCAAAGATGAATGGAAAATTGTAGGAAATGTACATGGACTGTTTACAATTGTTGGTTCAGGATGGGGTGGCTTGAATGGCATTTGCTTGTCATTGACTTTATTACACACCAGTTTGGTAAGTAGACTTGCTCCACCCTTACCCTGACTCTTATCCTGTTAAAATACACAGCGGGAAGTAACAGTTATCTTTCTGTATGTATCACAATATAACAATGCGCATTATCATGGATAAAGTGTGACAGGTTAGTTAACAAAGTTGAAACTGTGAGACAATCTTTACTGGAGCCTCTAGTTTCTCGCACATACCACATCCACGAGTTGTGCAATCGACAAGCCGAAATGGACGAGCACAGCGTCGGAAGAGTTAATCACAGGTCGGGACAGTTTGTTGTAGCCAGTGAAGAGAGTTTTCAGCAGCTGCTCCTCAGCTTGAGCCCGAGATTCCAGCTTACAGCAAACTGGGAAAAAAAAACCCAGGAAAGTTCCGTTGTTACAGAAGTCAGTGACACCACCCCAGCTCTGCTCAGAGAATAAGGCAGAAGTAATGGGAGTTTACTAAGAATATGTTGACAGCAGTGGAGACAGGGTCAATGAATAATTTTAAAGCTGAGCTGAAAATTCTCGACGAATGAGGGAGTTAAAGGGTATCAGGGTAGACAAGAAAGTAAAGATCACGAGCAGGTCAGCCACAGTCTAACTCAATGCTGTAGCAGGATCAAGGAGCTGAATGGCCTCCTCCTGCTCCTAATTCATAAGTTGCTATGTATGTACCTCAGCTGCTGTGCCTTAATGGTGACTCAGAAGTCTTGTGTGGGACTAAAGTTAGAGTCTGTCCCAGGGGCAAAACATTATCAGACATTCTCAAATCCTTTTCTGACCTACCCCTTCCTATCCCTGGCACTCCTCCAACTCTACAGAATGCTCTACAGTTCTGAGGAAGGGTCACCAGACCCGAAACGTTAACTCTGTTTTGTCCTTCACAGATGTTGCCAGACCTGCTTGGCTTTTCCAGCAACTTTGTTTTTGTTCCTGACTTACAGCATCCGCAGTTCTTTCGGTTTCTACAGAATGCTCCTCACTTTACAAATCTACCTGGATGTGCATTATCCCACATAGACACTCCAACCCCTGGAATTGTTTTCTCTCAAAACCTTTCTTCTTAAAGATCCGATTGTCACTTTATTTAGCTTGAGATCTATTTTCCTCACTCAACCTCTCTATAGGACCGTGGGAGTTCAATTATTTTCTGTTTATCAAGTTGTTGTTGTTCTCTAGGTGGCTGAAACAGATTTACGCTGAGCTGTAGTTCTATAACAGGGATTGCACTGAACGGCTGCATGTTTTTGAAACAACTAAAAGGCAGAAACTAACAAGGATAGAGCAGGCCATGAGTTTGAATTTTTTAAAAAATTACATACTCCCAATTCAAAATACACAGTGTCAAAAAAAGACTTTAACTGAAAGGGGATGCAGTGGCCCAGTGGTGTTATTGCTGGACTGTTAATCCAGAGACTGAGGCTCAAATCCCACCATATCAGATGGTGGAATTTGAATTCAATAAAAATCTGGAAATTGTCAGGGAGGAAAACCCAACTGGTTCACTAACATCCTTACCTGGTCTGGCCTACATGTGACTCCAGACCCTTAGCTGCCCTTTGGACAAGGAGGTAATAGATGCTGGCCTAGCCAGGGACATCCTCATGTCCTAAATGAATTCTTTTGTTTAAAACAAATGCATTAATCTCAACACTGGAGCTTCCTCCCTCTGGTTTAGTGATCTTGGGTGAGAAATAAGCATTATCCTGGCCATTCATTCAAAATAATGCTCCAATCTGAGAGGGCAGATTTAAGTCCCCGATTTAAGACTGTCTGCACTTACAAACATGATCCTACACAGGGGAATAGTTTTAATGGCCCAACATACCGACATTTCCTGTACATACAAGTAGTTCCTTTCCATTGTCCTGCATTGTGTTCCAACCCTGTGGTCAAATCAACTTGTGACTGGACTCCAGAATGGAACAGTCCGAGGATTGCCTGGAGCAGACCTGTCAGTCTGAAAAATGTGTTCATGTCTAGCTCAGTCCCACAGTCCAGGGTAACTCGCTTAAAACATGGACACCATCCCACCCACGCCAACTGATAGACTTTAAAATTTAATCAATAAATCTGGAATTGAAAGTTAGTCCGTGATAGATCACTGATTGTTGGAAAAACCCATCTGGTTCAGGGGAACAGCTTGCGGAGATGTTTGAAAGCATGTGTGATTATTGAGATAATAAGGATCAGTTTGAGTTCTCCATCAGAATCTGTTCTGAACCCAACACATAAAGGACAGCAGAAGCAGTGTAGCAGGGAAGTCTCACAATTCGAACCCCTGAAACTCCCCTCAGTTTGAGGGATCCAGCAAAATTAATAGTTTCGGCATTGAGAGTTTAGTTCTGCTGTTTGTTGGAGTCAGTGAGCAAGCAAAACAGTGTGAGGGTAATACACAGTGTCAGGTAAGGGGGCTGTTTGTAATATCAAAGGGCACAAACTCATTAAAATGTAACTGTAAAAACGAACAAAATAGCGAATTGGAGATGGTGATATAGTCAGAGTGATAGTGACAGCGAGGGAGCAGGGGAGCAGACTGAGAGATACTGAGCATTAGAGTGTGTGAGATTGAGTGGGGGAGAACAGACTGAGAGATACTGAACATTAGAGAGTGTGAGATTGAGGGGGGTAGCAGACTGGGAGATACTGAGCGATTAGGGAGTGTGAGAGTGAGGGG